GACGTTGTACCATTAGTACGTATTGCAATCTATTCCTCAATATATCCTTATTCGAAAAAAATGATTTTTTTTTAATTTCAGCTTTTTGTAATTTTAAGTTAAGTTTTGAGTGTTGGCTGAAATATTAATAGGCTGAAAGTGCACTATAAAATAGTATTACACAGTCATTTCAAATTATACAAGAAAGTTGGAAGAGTTGACCGGGAGACGTGGTTCAGGGCATCAATTGATGTCATTGCAGAGTTTGATCTTTATTAGCAATAAGGACACATCATCAGGTCACATTTAAACTACTAGAATTCTATTAGAAAGGCATGAACAAAAACCATTCAAAATATTTTAAAAATACTTTATTACAAAATTTGCCATGCAATTGTACAATAAAATTAAGTTGGTTCACAATTTGCGAGGCATTACCTCCACATCTATAAGAAAGTATTCGAACATTGCAGGTTAATTTAACCTACACAATGAAATGATATATGATGATGTGATGGTTGAAACTTATGAGCAAATGAAAAATATAAAAAATTGGATGAAAGGCAGTATCAAAAATATTTCTTTTAGAACAGGCCTGGCCGAAACAACTCCATCAAAATCTTAGAAGGAAGCTCAGATTATCACAGCCATATAAACAGTTTTATCTTTTAAAAATTTCATAACTTTTCTCCAATTTTATAATGTAAAATGATTGATGTAGGATGAATGTCTGATAATAAATAATATTCCACTTCTTGACAGCATTATGATTCTTCTCTTCACTTCTTAGTTTTTCCGGTCTTTTGAATATCTCATGATATCACCTCCAAAGCATGAGCTATTAAAATATCCCTGTTCACAGAAAGTAATCAATTCTTGAAGAATTGAAAAAGGTACCTGGTGTTTCTGAAAGAAAAGGAGATATTTTTATTAATATTATTTATTTATTAGTTCCTCTTTAATGTTTCCAAAATGTTCAATCAAAAATCAAATTGCATAATTAATATAGTTATTAATCCCTGTTCATTCTCTTTTGCCTCCTCGTAACACTTCAGTGCAAATAGAGATAAATTGGTCAGCTCTGTCTTCCACATGAATGCAAGGTAACAGTTAGGTTTATGCAATTTACGATTTAATTTGCGATTTCTTGTTGGAATAAAATTATTATAAACACTATTTACCATGCAAATTCTCATGTTAGTTTAGTACATAGTAGTATTTCATTTATGGAAATGTTCTTTTTTGCTTTTTAATCAGCGTTTCTTTTCTAATTTTTGTCTTTATTTCTTATGATTCAAACTTCATTCTTGAATCTATAGTTTATTAAATCATCTTGAGATTGGAAGAGTCCCAACACTGACCATTCTTTTTTTCATTTCATTAATTTGATAAATTTAAATTTGGTGTATCCCCCCCCCCCCAACAAAAAAGAAAGTTTTCTCTGATAATGGTTATTCTACAGCTTATAATTCTTGTAGATTATTATTGTGAATAACATTCCCTCAAAAAAGATTAAATACTAAAACCATCAGAGTTTTCCTCTTTTGACAAAATATAATTATAATTTACTTTGTGGTTAGGTATATTTTTATTAAATCATGGTTAAATGTCAGTGAGAATGAATACTAGGACATCAAATAATAAAAACAACACATTTATTGAGATAGATTTTCTGAACTTACATACTGTATAATTCTTATCTGAAAAGCAAGGGGAAAAGTTAATAGTAGTCTAACTAAAATGAAGTAGAGTATTTCAGAGGAACATTCATTTTGCAGAGACTAAACTTGGAGAAGTTGTTATTGTCTTCAAGCAACTGACTGATTTGGAAGCTCCTTGGTTCTTTTCTCTCTCTTTTTTTTCTCTCTCTCTAAAGTATCGACTTTTTTCCCACAAATATCAATTTTTTAAATTTATGGTTCTAGTAAAATTATAAAATATTTATTTTTTAAAAATTATTTTCAGTTAAATCACTAATTTCTTAACAAATAACTTTTCTTTAAATACTTGCGGTAAAGTGGAAGAATGGTTAGAACATTGAATTTAGATTAAGTTAGTGAATCTTATTATCTTGCAATTTATTATATGCCTAGCTAGAGACATACAAGAAGTTGAAGAAAATTGAACATTGACAACATTTTTTTGAATTAATTTTTGTGTTATTTTATACTGGATAGTACTGAAAATCTTGTCAACGTATTCAACTTTTAAATTTTGGAAAGCACACTTTGTTTACAACAAAATTAATACCCAACTGTAAATGAATGCACAAATTAATAAAAATTAATCTTGTTATTAATTTTAAAATAGTATTAAAATACACTTAATATTCCCCCCAATATTTAATGAATCACTTTCATTTGTCTTAAAATGGTGAGGTATGACAAAATGGACCATTTATCTTAAAAGAGAGTGAGTGAGAGAGGGGGGATTTCTAAAGTTTACGCGTTGTTAAAAAGGGTGGGAAGAAAATTTTGCACATGCAACTTTTAATGAACCTATAGAATTTCAAACCATTGAGAAAATTATACCTTATTACACAAAATGAATAATATAATTAGCAATGATATTCAAGAAATAAAATAATTTTAATCTAAAATTAGCTGAGAGATCTCCATAGCCTCTAATTTAAAAACCACCAAAGCAAATATTAATGAACCAAATTAGTTAAATGATGTATTGACACAATACAAGCTCCAAATATTAATGTCCCTTTCCTTGAGTCATTACAAAAAAATTATGAAATGGATGATCTTATCTACATCTTGACTACACCTCTACAACTTCCAAGCTATATTTTCAGTACATCTTCCTAATGTTTATGATATCATCATCATCTTTACTTTTCAGTTATTTTATCATTTTGACATTTTATGAGTTGATGATGATGATAATATTAATAATAATATCAATAATATTATTATTACTATTACTATTATTACTATTACTATTATTACTATTATTATTATTACTACTATCAACTTCCTCAAATCAAGAAGTCAATCATTTAAATGAATTTTAGAACAATTTGCATAATAGACCTTTTTAGCACTGTTACTATATGTTCATTATCTAATTTATTAATTTTAATACAGGATATATTTATGATTTTATGAGAAGAAATCTCTCATCCATTGCATAATTACTACATATGTCATACGATGTAGGTTGGTATATAAGATTGATAAAATGATATGGAAGTAAAGTTTGACTCCATTGCTCAATACAGGTATGTATGATTTTATCCATTATATATCAGCTCTCATATTTAAGATAAACTTTTTTTAACCAATCAGTTCACAAATATTTTCTACAACAGAGCATCTATCTATCCAAAGGTCAGGTTTGGTTCCCAATGAAGCCACCTATTCCTCTCGTATCTATCTATTTCAGTAAACATTTTTTTTCTCAAATGTGTAAATGTGTAAAATTAATGGAATAATCCAATTATTACATTTGATCTAATGTCTTACTCCTATAAGTTCAAACTTAAAGGAATATTATAATGAAATTTTTCTACTTCTATGTACCTTATGTTTGTAAATCCTTCTCCCTTGATTCAGTCTCTGGAGGAGCTGATGTACTGGTGTCTTTAGGAGCCTTAAATGAAAGAAAATTGTTTAATCGATTTCATTTTAAACTTACATTCACATTTAAAAACAAAACAAAAATCAATTTAACATCATCTAATGTTATTTACAAATGCAACCAACTCATTTAATGTGATTCTTAGTGACACACCCCAAGGAAGAACTCTGGAGTTTCAGGCCTTTCCAAGTGTCAACACAAATTTGTATATAATTCATCATATTCCATAAAAGGTAATTTAATAGTACATATAAAAACTTAGTTTTACATTCAGCATAAATGACAAATTCTTTATAAGTAAACATCAAGGCAACTGAACATGACACTTAAAGGAGGATTCCCACTACAAGCTGTTTGACACAGCCCAGCATGGTTCACCATCTTTCAGCTTGGTTAACAAGTCAACCATTTACAACGGACAGCTCAGCATGGAACGGCACTTGTTTCATTCAAGATAGAAAAGAATTGATTATAAAATTAGTTCTTACAAAGAGGAATTCATTATATTTGATGAAGAGGAAGAATAACACGAAGGTGGGTAATGTAACCAGCGGATATACAAATACTAAGAAACAATATTTGTGCCGAAACCATCACGATCTTTTCCAAAACAAATGCACTCCATTTGTTTTGGAAATTTAAGGTGTACTTCATATTAAGCTCATACCAAATTTTCTCCACACTGCTCCAATATTTTTCTTTAATTATCTTGCTCAAATGTTTACAAGTGAGATCATATAAATAGCAAAAAGCCAATCTTATTTAAACCTCTGAAATTTTGAGAAAAGCAAACATTTGACTTGTCCCAGAATAAGAGCAAATATTTGCAGGAGACAATGTAGGATTGCCCCCTAAATTATTAGTTCTTTTGTATTTAATATACATTTAAATCTGACCGAATATTATAAATTTCTGCTGGGATTAATATTGGGATAAACTACATGTATTAACTTAGATAATTTTTTTATTTTCTCTTTATTATTTGTCATGAATCATTCGGTATTTGTTACTGTGCATTGAGGCTAGTGTGGAAGGAAGATAGTGAGCGACACCCAATACACTAGTCAGCTAGACAGTTGCAGCCGTTAATTCCTGGAACAGCACGTCAATTTGCCCAAGGCCACTCGCCATGCCGTACTAGTTGTCATTATGAAATATAGTTTACCAAATACCATGAACTACATTTACTAATTCTACATCATGGTTGTAAATTCTACAATGACAGAACTGCAGGGTAAATAAGGTTTCAAAGGAAGACTCGAACAATGATGACATCTTCGCAGGTTTGCACCAGAGAAGACAGTGATTGCAGACAGGCGATGGCTTGACTTTCCATGCGCTCGAATCACAGTGATAGAGAAACCAAGTTTGCAGAAGAGGACTACGAAGGTGATAAAGACATCTATGGGTATGCACCAGAAGAGCCAGGTGCTGTAGACAGGCAGCGACCTGAAGACTTCGCAATATCTATATTGGATGTCCGAAAAGAGCTTGTTTGGACAAGAGCAAAGTCAGGCGTGCAAACAAACATGTAGCGGAGTGGGTTGAAGTTGCCATTTTAACCCAGTTACTGATCAAGCAAGCCCTCTCAAATGAAGACTCAGGAATGGTTGGAGGCTATGGTGAGTGAAGTCCGTACTTAAAAAGAAAACCTAGGGGTGGTGCCTAGACCAAAAGGTGGTGATGTAATAGGGGGCAGATTCACTTTGAGAAACAAGGATGAAGCAAATGGAGTGTTCAAAAGATGAGAGGCAAAGATCATAACAAAAAGGCATTCTCAATGATATGGAAAGGATTACCATGAGACTTAATGCCCCAGTTAGTGAGCTAGATTTTATTTGACTGGCAATCACCCTCGCAGCACAGAATGGCATGCAAATCTGTCAGTAAGATATGACCATGGCATAGT